AATTTTGTTACATTATATTAAAATGTTAGAATTATTTTCAGTAAAGATAGGATAATAATATGCATTAAAATTCGTTCTCATCGCTGTGAAACAGCCTTTGGCTGCTCAAATTAGTTCTCAATTTTATTAAAAAAAAACCCTAATAAAACATGTCAAATATTAGAATGTTAGAATTCTGTCACATTATTAAGATTTAACCACAAGCTTTTTACCTAAAACCCAAATTATGGCTTCTTATGCTCGGGGAAAACAAAAAAAAATAAGACCACTTCTAATCTTTATAAAAAATCGTGTATATTTAAGGGGTTTATTTCACCTTAAAATTAAGTGTTTATAGATCTGCAAGATGTGTATCATGTTTTGACTTTCAAATTTTATCATCAGTGTTGAAAATTGATTTAGATCCATCATCAAGATTTCTGTTGCCAAAAGTGCGCCTAGGAAACTTCATCCTTGGCAAAAGAGAAACTAACAATTGGACTAAACTAAGCTGGAATCCAATAGGTTTGAAATTGCAGTGGATCATTAGCTGTCATAATATTTCTTCTATTTCTAAATTCACATAATTTGATTGACAAGTACATTGCATAATTCACAAGTGTAGCCAGCTAATGCACCATGGCTGGGTGTGTCGATATCCTAGCAGCCATGTGCCTTTGAAAATGACAAAAAAAAAAAATGACAGGTCCTAAATATTTAACAACACGGTTTCTCATAAATATTTAACAACAGGTCTTAAAATTTTATTTTTGAATTTTAAATAAAATTTAAAAAATTAAAAATACTAATTTTATGAAAAAAAACATTTAGACCGTTAGTTTCAACTATTTTTAGATGGACCATCCCTTTGCATCAATCTTTAAGATCGATGCTTTAAACCTCAGGGGACATAAATGTAAAAATGTCTTCCCCCGATGCAGGAACAATTTTCCTTTTTTAAAAACTCTGCTCGGGCATGGGGCTCGACTGCTGCTCGAGCATGAGTAATTTGGGTGAGTTTGATTAAACTTATTTGCTTAAGTTTAGAAAACCTAGAAATTATCAAAAAAAATGCAAATATATTCAAAATAATTAAAATTTAGTACAAAATAAAAGAATTAAAAATAAAAATAATAATTATCTGAAGAAAACATTTAGACGGTTAGTTTCAACTATATTTAGATGGACCACTCATTTGCATCCATCTTTAATATAGATGTTTTATATCTCGGGAACGTAAATGTAAAAATGTGTCCGCAAATACATGGAACAATTTTCCTTTTTAAAAAACTCGGCTTGGGCATGGGACTCGACTGCTACTTGAGCTTGAGTGTGATTAAACTTATTTGCTTAAGTTTAGAAAAGCAAAAAATTATCAAAAAAAAAGAAGTAAAATATGTTCAAAATAATTAAAATTTAGTACAAAATCAAAGAATCCATAAATTTCATTATAGCTATATAGAACATAGGAAAAGAATTTCGGATAATAATAAAAAATTGATTTATAGCTTGAAATAGTTAAAAAAAGGAGAAGAGAGAATTATACCATATAATAAGAAAACTCCACAAATCATCATAAAAAATAAAAATTAAATAGAACATATTTACACATCGTTAATTAATGATTTGCAAAACATGGAATCGAGTTGGGACTTGGGACTCGCTAGATAGCCCCGAACACTAGCCAGGCTTCACAAACTCGGCCTAGGTCGAGTCCATATATATATATATATAAATTAAGAATCAGCAAAACTTTGCCGGTTGAGATTCGATTGCTTGGCGAGTCTGAATCATGAGCGTGACTGGGACTCGCCCAGCTTTTCCCATTGCTTTTATGCAAAAGCTTCACATACAAATACCAAAGATGATTGAGTCCAATATTTGGTTATATTCCATGATTTATTGGCATCAAAGTCTTTGGCAAATAATTCATCCTACCTCTGAGGTGTCCTACTTTGTCTTTTGGGAACTAGACATGCCTACACATTTTTAGCAGCATGCCAGGGGAGACCGACCCTAGCATCTCACTTAGATGTGCCCTTTTTTCATCTCACTTAGATGTGCCCTTTTTTTTTTTGTCTTTTGGGGTGTCAAAGATTTGAAAGGCTACAAATATGGGTATGTATACGTGTTCCCTCGGGAGCATAGTTTATTTCTACTCCATCTGTCAGAAAGACCTCTTTGGGAGTATTTTTTTCAATTTGAAATTTTGATAATCATTTAAGAATTATTAAATAATTATTCAAAAAAAAATGATATTTGAGTTTTTTGAATCTCACCATCTAAAAATTGGATGGTCTCTATTCAATCTCTAGACATTATTTTTTTCAAATGCTTCGAGGGAACATTGGAAAAAAAAATAATTATTGACATTAATCTATGGGTTGATGAGGTTACATCCCAAAAATAATTTGAGATCCTCAAATTAATTCTAGGTGGGCTTTTATCCAAAGGAGTAAATGGCCATTCTACTCCCGAGGGAGTAGAATATCATTTGGCTCCAAATACAATTTCTGTATTCTACCAATCATTCAGCCTTTTTGCTCACGGGTAAACATGATTAAGCCTTTAAAATTGAATAATTTAGGTAAAATGTCATACTACTAGACCACTTATACGGATGAAATCTAGGCACTGAAAACATTGCATGACTTTCATGGTCGGTCCAACTCTCTCCATCACCATCCAAAACATTGATCATCACTGTCGAATGCAGTTTTTAAAAGGTGATAAGATCCGGAGACGGTAAATTTTGCCTGAGACGGAAGGATCCATGGGAAGGAATCCTCATATAAAAGAACAAAATAATTACTTGTCCTCAAACCTCTTGACAATAAGTTTCTCCTAACGCCGCCCCGAACATCTCATTAACCCTAAAGTTCATCTTTTTGTTACTTCAAATGCTTCTGAATTTCAATTTCGGTAATTTGAGGCCAGTTGTTGGACAACATCTCGTGCCACCATTTACTGTCTTATAAATGAAATTTTGATTATGATATCTATTTTTTATTGTAGATAGATGGCGAATGTATCAAAAAGTTGCATGTTAATACAAACATTGTTCCTCATGATTTGTATCTCTAAGTTCTAACCCTTCAAAAATGATAAAAAAAAAAAAGAATATTATTATAAAATTTGACATCTTCCAAGGGCCAAAAATAAATTTTATTTTTATTTAAAAATAATATTAATCTGAAATTTGGGATTTAGCTTCATTTTATAAAGAGAACTGAATAAAAAAATATTTTGAATAAAAATATTGATCGAAATAAATTTAAGGCTATTTTGGTTATTTTTTATTTACAAATTTTTTAATTATTATTATTTAGTTATATTTATAAAAATAAACCGACATCCTATAATTCAGATAAATATATTACTTCAATAAATAAAAAATAAAAAATATAGGATTAATTTTGGCTGTTAGATATGACTTCGTGAAATCTCAACCATTGGATACTCTACAAACTCTGCCCTTAAAAGAGCGAGGGCTGTATAGAAAGTATTCGGTTTTAGGAAGGGCACCTTATAAATTCGTGGCAAATATCCACGTGCTTCAACCGGTCTTAGGCCCCAGTCGTCGAAGAAGAGAGCTTTCGCAGTATAGAGACACTCCACCGACCTTTCTTATGCATTTATGCTCCTTGACAAAGCATAAAATGACGAATTAGCCTTTTCCCTCTTTTTTTACAATTTTTTTTTTTTATTTGCTTTATTTTTTTAATCTCACCTTTACGACTCAATGGATTATAAAAAAAAATAATTGTTTCATGCATTTCTATTTGCGGTCCAAACATATAAAGCATCCATCTTAAAGATGGATGCAAATAGGTGCTCCATCTAGAAACAATTGAAACTACCGGTCCAAATGTTTTTTTAATAGAATTGTTATTTTTAATTTTAAAAATTTATTTATTTGTTCATATCATAATCTCCATGTTAGAGATTACATATCTTTAAATTAAGTCCAAAAATCCATCTCATAATAGAGTTTTAAGAGGTGCCTCATTTCTACATGGACTCATAGAAATCAGGTCCTCATAAAAATCATGTGGTGGTTTTGTTGGCATGGCAATAAACAAAGACATGATTTTAAGTGTGGCAATTCAAAAAAAATCTAAATCGCTTTTCTTGATAAGTGTTTGAAAAACTCAGACTGTGACTCATAGGGTTATGAGCCAGAGTCAGAGGCCAACTCAGTGCCTGACTTGGTTGACTCTCAATAAAAATTGTATAAGAAATAGTTAGCTCTGGTCAGACTTGCCTCATTTTGGTGTATCAACCGGACCCAGCATGTTTCTAGGTCCAAATAACATAAGTGAGTCAGATCTTAAGCCATATTTTTTCAAAAACACTTCTTAAAATTTATTCTTGAAATCTCACTTTAAAGTACCTATTGAACTTTTTTATCTTGAATTATAAAGCACCTAATCTCACTTATACATCTTACCTTTATTCTTTTTAAATAGTGCGAAGATGTGTCGTGTCTAAATGATCATTTGAGATTGGTACTCATGACGCTTGTAATGACGTTACAATACACATATTGATTGCTTTTTAACAATTTAAAGATAGCAAATTATGATGAATAAGAAAAGTACAACTCATTGTCCATGGCCATAATTGGATGTAGATGGAGAGAGAATGTAACTCTTTATGATGATAAATTGGATGGTGGTGATCAAAGGACTTTGTGTATTCTAATTATAAAAACAAAAAAAAACAAAAAATCAAAATATTTTTATGAGATGAATTGTTTAACATTTTACCTATTTACAACTATTCCAACTCGAGACTGTGCATTCTTTTATGGGTATTTTAAAATTAAATAAAAAATCATAGGTAAATTATTAAATTGTTTTAACTCTTATAGAATTTTGATAATATTTATTTTTACATTCTTTCTCCAAAAGTTTAAGATGAGGGTTATGGGGAAAAAGTAGGATTTTAAAAACTGAAGTGATAGAGTACCACTCGTTGCTTGGCAGATAAGATGATGGCATGGGTTGTTTGTATATATAAGAGAGGCAAAGCCATGAAGGTGATGCGAGAGGTTGAGTGAGAGATGGGTTCATTGCTTGCTTTGTTGGGGTTGATTGTAGGGTTATTTGGGGTTGGCAATGCACAACTAAGTGCTAGCTTTTACAATACCACTTGCCCTAACGTGACTAGCATTGTGAGAAACGTTGTTCAGCAGGCTTTCCAGTCGGATGTGCGCATCGGTGCCAGTTTGATCCGCCTCCACTTTCACGACTGCTTTGTTGATGTATGCCTCATCACTTTTTACCCCCTTTTTTTTATTTTTTTTAATTATTATTATTATTATTATTTATTTTCTTTTGAGTTTTTATATCATTATTTGTCTTTGATTTTATTTGACAGTGTTTTAAATATTGTTTGAAAAATCATTTATCTTATTAGAAATATCTCGGATCTCAAAATTTTTATTTTTATGTTTTTCCTTTTTTTTTTTTTTGATATGTTAATAGTTGGAATAGATGGCGGGACATTAGATGCCCCAGCTCCATTTCAAGGACTCCTACTTCTCTTTTGCTCTTTGATTTATTTTGTTATTACTATATCCCTTTCCGGATCAAAAACCATTCAAGCTCGATTAGGGAGTTGGACCCCTGCCAAGTCGGAGCCCGATTCGATTTCTAAAACGTATGAAATTTGGAAGTTCTAAAATTAATCAGAAGCGGTTCTACCACTTAAAAGTAATGGCTACATGCTGATCTCTTCAGAGTGTTAGCAGAGGTGTAGAACCATCATTGGTTAAATAAATACACATGGAAGTTTTTGTTTTTGTGGTAATTGGAAACTAACGTAATTTTGAATTCTTCCTTTTTAATTTTCCTCTGGAGAGTTTGACCGCCCAAATTCAAGAGCTAAAATAAAAGAAAATGTTTATATAAGGTTGATTGTTACTTTATACCAAGGGGCACATCAAAAATTCAATAGAAAAAGAGTTCTGAAGTTGAAAAACCTTACAAATGATCATCTTGAAATGTATGATTATATATATATATATATATATATATATATATATATATTACAAAGATAATATTTTTTACTTAGATTCCTTCCTTTTCCATATC